CTAAAGGGCCGAGTTTACAGCGCGTCAGTTCGCTTAGTATTGTTGTATGGGAGCGAGTCCTGGCCGATTCGCGTGGAAGACATGCGTCGTCTTTCTGCGTTCGATAACGGTTGTTTAAGGAGGATCGCTAGTGTCTGGTGGCAACATCGAGTTACCAGTAATGACGTTCGACGTCGCATCTTGGGGAATGCAAGTATTTCCTTCAACAAACTGGTTTTGTTGCGCCAGTTAAGATGGCTCGGTCATGTCCTACGCATGGCACCTGAGCGTCTACCGCGTCGCGCTCTATTCGCTCCTCAAGGACCTGGCTGGAAGCGACCGCGTGGTGGTCAGCCTTCCACTTGGTGGCAGCACATGAAATCGCTGACGTCGCGTCTAGCCGCTGTTGGACCCGTACGTCTTCCAGGATGGGGACCCAAAGATGAGGAGTGCCAATGGCTTAGGACTCTTGAAGACATGGCCCGCAACCGGAATCAGTGGAAGAATTGTGTACAGTGTTGTATCGATTCACATGTTTAATTTTGCTAATATTGAAAATGACAAAAAAGAGAAAAATCGGCGTGTGACAAACAAACTAAAAATGTTTTGTTCTGTATTTTTGCCAAAAGATTCCATTTTCTTGCGGCATATTAGCTGAAGTGTGTTGCCCACCTTCAACTAGCATGCCACGATGATTATAACGCAATGACTCTCCTATCCACTGATTTCCATGGTTTATATTGGCTCTATGTCTAGTTACTAGACCGCTGAGATTACATACATACATACTGCAGATTCTCCCAACTCCAGTTACATGGCCTTTGAATATTCGCCTTGAACCGGGTAGATGGTGGTTGAAGACGTCTTACCTGACACATTCGGAAATCGCACGCTAATTAATTTAGGTGAGTATGGCTTGATCCATATAAAGCGTAGGAGAGCTCCTCAGCGAAGTGATTGAGGTAGTGCTGGTGCTCACTACCGTGTGGAAGAAGCTTTGTGTAATTGACTAGAGGGAACGATACGTTTTAACATGTAAGTCGCAGACTTGACCAAGAAGTCGTGTATTATTATAAAGCGTCCGGTACACCCATTAGTTCCCATTTCGTTTCGACTTACCGGTTTCCAGTGTTCGCCTTAACGTTATCTAACAAAAGAATTCCATGACCTTGTGAATGGCTAGCCGATCAACCTCATCGTGGTGCCAGCTGGGTATTTCGAGTTAACCCCGTTCCAGGAAATAGTTCGGCGGCAGTGTTTCAGGACGTGGTGGGTTTTCACTTGGCAATCGTTCTCCCTATAAAAAGTCATAAATGTCTGTTTAACAGCACTGTGACGTGGCGGTTGTGACTCGCCACCCATTAAAGTCACCCATTTGTTTATCCGAAGAATCGCTTCAAGTGCACCATCAACAAGCATCCATTAGCACTGGCGACACGATACAAAGTGCAGCAAAGCGTTTACAAATTCCATAGACACGACTACACAAGCCTACATGCACACATACAAACAATTGCATATCAACATATGTGACAATCCTTTTGTACATCCTTATGTATATAATCGGATCGCATCTTGTATTCTTAGCATGATCATGCCTGTGCAGGCCTGCCTTGATTACTCGAGAATAAGCATTTTATTTATTTATTTATTGCTGACGGTGAACCTGGTATACGTTAAAAATGGGCGCCACTGACGAGGCCCAATATGGGGCAACTCGTCTGGTGCTTTTCCAGGCTAGGCTGTGCTATGTAGCTTGTGGACTACTGGGATGAAAGCCTTAAATGTATATCTAAACTCCAGCTACTCGCGAGTAATATAAAATACTTAACCCCTTCAGGTTGCAAAGGCTATGGCTATAGCGTCTTGCGAGAGGGCGTCATGAACTCGCCAGATAGCCGCTGTCTGTGACAGTGGAAGATAGATCCTAGTTAGTTTGCGAATTATACAACCCTACCAACTTCCCCCATGGCCTTATAAGCAGTTTCGCCTGCGTACTGAATACTGAAGAGTAGTAGGGGAAGTTGAATGGTATAGGTAGAAATTCGTCACATCTAGACCCACTCAGACAGCCGTCACACGCCCGGAAAGGATGAAACGCGCGTACAGTGTTTTTCCGGGCGTGTGACGGCTGTCTGATTGAGTCTAGACGTGACGAATTTCTACCTTTACCATTCAACTCCCCTACTACTCTTCTGTACCCAGTACCCAGACCAAACTGCTTATAATGCCATAAGTTAATTGGCGGCCTAATTTTGGGAAGCTTGTCACTTGTTGAGGGGTTACCCTGTCCTCTGCACAGCAGTAACATGTAAGTCAGTGGCTAGTGAGCGGCGCTAAAGCACATCTAGTAACTTATTTACGATGGTCGTTGCTGTCCACCGTAGCTCAGTGGGCTCAACCACGGATTGGAAATAGTTGAGTTGAGTTCTGATCCTACCAGGGTCCGATGGAATGCGCACTGCTGACGGTTCCCGAAAGAATGAACCGCGCGTGCAGTGCATTTCCGGGCATGTGACGGTTGTCTGAGTGACTCTAGGTGTGGCGAATTTCCACCTGTTATACAAAATATATGGTTTCGCCTAGTTCGAAATGTCCTGGATATAACGTCTATGGAGAGGACGTTTTCACCTCGCAGGCTTGCCGCTGTCAGTGACAGCGGGAGTAGGTGGTGCTAGATCCCAAGTAGATTGCAAATTATGTATCCCAGCTTACTTCCCTTATGGCTCAGTTGCTTAAGATGCTGGATAGTTGGCATCCGCCTCCAGCGGTCATGGGTTCGGTTCCCAGTAGGGGACCGAGGGAGTGCACACCACTGAAGATGACCAATAGGGCAAAACCCTTCCAGTGCTCTTTCGGACTAGGCTGTCCTATGTAGCTTGTGAACTACTGGGATGAATGTCTCAACAATATTTTTAAAATTATGTGAGGTCCATCGCAGCCAGTTTCCAAATCAGATAGTCGTCCACATGCCCGGAAAAGCACTAGACAGCAGTTTCAGCCTGTTGGGCATCGTCAGTAGTGCGCATCCATCGGATCCGTCAGGATTCGAACCCATGACCACCAGCGGCTTGAACCGCCAGTCAGCAGCTTATGCCACTGGGCCAAGGGGGACATCTTCGGACAGTCATGATTTACAAGCTAACTGCGATATAGCGCGTCTTATCCTCCGCTGCCCGTGGCCCAGTGGCATAAGCTGCTGACTGGCGGTTCAAGCCGCTGGTGGTCATGGGTTCGAATCCTGACGGATCCGATGGATGCGCACTACTGACGATGCCCAACAGGCTGAAACTGCTGTCTAGTGCTTTTCCGGGCATGTGGACGACTATCTGATTTGGAAACTGGCTGCGATGGACCTCACATAGTTACATCAAAATCCCCTACTCATGAGTACATCAAATATTTTTAAAAATTGTAGGTCCCTTTTCAAATGGGGTCTTCAACCTCGGCACTCAAAGTTACATCGACCGAGCAGCACCACCCACCGTCACTCTGTGTTGTATTGGAGTGGAGGTGTGCTCTTCTGCCATACCGACATCATTATGAGACGGAGCTGAATGTTCACTCGCACTCCATGCACAAAGCAATTTATTTCCTTGGCTTGATTTAAGCAACTTCGCGCTGCTTCTAGCTGTGCCATTTGCACGTTCAGCGACCAGAACAATAGCTCGAAGCATTTGGGTTGTCGAAAAGGGGTTTGATAGAAAATGCACAGGATTCTTTTTTGCAACTGCGTAGGAGCAGTTCGATTATGAATTTTCACAAAAACAATTACTAAGCTTCAAGTTAAAACAGTAGTCGGCCTTGGTTTATCGATTTATGCACGTACCAATGGCAGCGTGAAGGCAACTGTCTCCTAGATGCCGGAGATGAACGTAAAGCAGCAGTTTGCTTACCTCTTTGATTCTTTGAGTCACTGTGAGCGGTGGCTTTGAGCGTATTTAGACTTACTTCTACCATCTTGGTCATTGCTTAGAGATTAACCGAACTCAGCTCATAGGTTCTTCTTGTTGGGGGTAGAGAAAACTGCGGCGGTGCCCACTCTTAGGAGAACGCCTCATTTCACGGACTGTCACCATTTGATCAGGCTTTCGCGACAAAGCCTGTGGCTGAGGACTTTACAGTCTTATCTACCTAGGTTCGAGTGTCATGGTAGTAACACATAACACCAACAAACATGGTTAACTCACAAGACGTCGGCATTACTCTCCATCAATGAAATTATCTATTCCGTGTGCTGGGGAAGAGAAACGAAAACGGTCCAATTCCAATGCACCCTACTTGCTATTATCCATGTAGTCCCCTTGCATTTTCGTCGATCCCCGTTGTTCACGTACTTTCTGTGGTCGCCAGTTTATACAACAGTAAGTGAACTGCTACTAAAAGATACCATTAGAATCAACTCACCGGAGCCCTCAGTTGTCTGATTGAGTCCCCCTATCAAACGGTAGGGTGAGTGATTTTATGCTCTTAACAGGAAGATCACTTTTAGGCTTTGCCCCCGTACCTGGGGTTATGCAAGAGGAAAGCAGACAGGGGAGGATAGACTCACAATTGAACAGCTTATTGTACATTTCGTTATCGGCTACGGTTTAATACGTGCTTTGGAGGCTATCGAGAAGAATAGTGAGATCCACCTGGGTGCTTCACTAGGCTAGGTATCCATGTGAAGCATAAACCAACATAGTAAAAAGTTCTAAATCGGGTTGCTCTTTGCTAAGCGCTGATCGCACATACATTTCCGTAGCCTGCCCTACCCACTGCCGACCGTTCTGATTCCAAATGAAATTGATCAGAAGGTATATGCACTGCCGCTAGGTAGTTCGAACTAGATTTGCACGGAAAAAGTGTGTAGTAAATAATTCCATTTGTATTGTTTCTCTTGATTCCACACCTAAATTGCATTCTGAATCAAGACTATTAACATTAGGCCATCCTCACCAGCCATGAGGCCATTTCCATCCATCTGGGTCTTTCCACGCAAGAGCCAAATGTGAGTATGATTCTGATGCATTAAGAATCGAACAAAATGAAATGAACGATGGTAATATGTCAGTTCAGACAAAGGAAATATCTATCACAAAAGAATAGAAAACCAAGCCAACAAAAGGGTGATGGCTCCAACGGAAGATAATTTAAAAAGCTTTCCTTTCCCGGTCAATGCCATATGGTAGCAGGATCCAGAGAACATCACTGTACCAGCGGTTAGCAGTGCAGTCACCTGCAGAAAGTAGGGAAACAATGTGTCAACTCACCACATACGGGTGGTCAACCCATGGTACACCCAAGAGGACGATGGCACTGATAAGCTGATAGTGTGCTCCCAGCTGAAAAATGCGTTTGTGCTTTTCGGACGACTTTGTTAGCGCTATGGAGATCTTTAGCTCCTGTTTCGAGGCAAATTACCATGGGCACCATAGATACTGAGTAGAAGAGCCAGAGCTCCGCAAAGACCAGATAGTTTGACAATGGACTTGTATGCGCCATGGTTCTGGCTGCTTTTACCGATGTCTGCAAAAACTTTGATCACGGAATTTGACCTGATTTTTGGCAGAACATCAACTATGTTGCCATCCAAAGCTTGCAGGTAGATAGTGTATACCATATTGTCAGTAGTACAGTCATTGAGGCATAAAAGCAACTGTGTGCATCTGAAAGAGATGTATGGGTATGAATCATGTTGCAGGTCACACTGTAACCACACGACGATTCCCTCTTTCGCTCGTTGTTCGACAACGCAATCAATCAATCAATACTTAGTTTTACTTTGTACTTATGTAATCCAAGAAGTTGCTTTGTGGATCGCCAGTGCATAGCAGATTGAGTGGTCTGTTAAAATTGACGTAGTTTCGACTTTGGCTCTCACCCTCGGTTGCATTTTGCCTGGTTGGAATACGATTACTTGGCTAACTAGGTACATCGGTGCCACTGTGGATGTTGTTAGACACCTCTGCTTTTCAAGCAGATTAACCTGTGCTTCTTTTGTGGCGTTGAGTTGATGCGTAAACAAGGTCCTCGCATTTTGTTTTAACAGATGCGGCGATCACCACAACAGATGTAAGCATAATGTCACCCGTAGTACAACACGATTCCATAAATACGTTGTGATGAAATCTGCATTGAGTACTATCGATATTTGATGAAATAGAATTGCTTCAGAGGTACTTGCTACTGACAGTAATTTTGGCCGTTTCTCTATCCATACAGTATTCGTCCAGATTTTTACCGACTATTATTGTTTTATTTTAAGATCGTTATATTTCGACAGTGCACCATACATCCTCGTCACTTGACAATCAACTTACTTTTGCCTCATGTTTTGCCTCATGAAGGAGTGGGTGTTGATGCTGATCTAGTGTTACTTGGAAAACAGGGTGATTTACATGAATTGACAAGGATTGGGTCAACCGAACAATCAAAGTGACGTTGTGTGCTATAGTAGTTGTGGTTACTTGCAGGCTAGGGCAAGTTCGCTTGGGCCTATTATCTGAAAATGAATCGTGATATCTGTGTATCAAGTATTGGATGATATGCGCCAGTAAGACTTAGCTATGGTCCAGGTGTAAACCATAGACCTACTTGGAGTTGTGTGTGTGTAAGCAGGTAGCATTTGACCCAGTCTCCATCTCACTCGTTCATTGAACGAGCGATGCGAATCAAACAGAAAGTTTCAAGTTATTCAGATACGCACTTGCGATGAAACGACAGCGAGCTGGACGACGCTGCTGTGTAACAAGTGCTTATCCAGCGCAGTCGACTCGTAGGTAAAAAGGCCGGTCGTACCCGATATGTTGTTGGTCATTAGCCTCAGGGCTTTGCGTGACTGATAGTGTGGGTGCAGTCTGAATCAAACATTACGCCTATTCCAGTCAGATTGAGTAAGTGCATTTGTTGTGGGAAATGTTGGGTTTTGACAATTACAACCCTGCACTTTACGATCGGTTTCGTACTCGATAGCGGCGCTGCGACTAGAACACGGAACATTTTGTATATCAGCCGCAGCCTGTACCCTTAGTCAACGAGTAGTCGCGAACAACGCTGTTATATCCCTCGTTTAGTGGTCGAGGGACAAAACTGACAATGCTTCAAACCTTTACTAACACATGCGAAATTATTTCGGACTCACGGATTACGCACACGTTAGCTCATATCCAAACACGTTCGCGCAACATCAAACGATTTACGTGTGTCATGTGATTGGCTGAAAGTTGGACACATGTGATCATTCTAGCACTTCTCCGGTTAAAATAGCCACACATAAGATCTGTTGCTTGTAATGACAATGAGTCGCTGAACCGGGGATCGTGTCCGTTAGGATGTCGCCGTTCACTTTCCACTTTTTGCTCACCTCGACACATTGCTTTGGTCCTGGTTCCATTAACCTAGGGAAAGCAAATATATCCAGAAGAACATGTAACGGAATCTCTCTAGTGTCTGATGTGACTGAACTGAAGGGCTTACAGTAATTATATCATCCATGTAAGCCATCACAAGAGACAATCCGTTTAGCATTGTGTCCGTTACCATAATTCCAACTGCTATCCTGTTGTATTGATATAGAACTTGATGAGCATTACTCGTGAGGTGTCATGGTTCCTGGTCGACTTCGACTTGTAAATATGCATCAGAAGGATAATCTATGAAAAATGTTTGCTAACGTTTGACTGCCCAAACAAGTCAACTGGAATCGGCAATGGGTATTGGTGAGTCAAAAGCGCATCATTTAGTTCAGTTGAAATATCAGCACAAATACGTGCCATTGGTCTTCTCAACTATCATGGTGGGAGTAGCCCAGGTTGAATAATTCACCTTGGCTAGCAAGACCAATTACTCCAAGCGATTCAGTTCTGCATTAACCAATGGAACGGTTGAGTAGACTACTGGCCTTTTAGGATGGAATACTGCCTTTTCTTCCCGTGCGACATATAAAGTTGCTTGAAGTTTAGTGCATAATCCAAGTTCTGGCTTGGAAACATTAACCGTTTTATCGACAAGCTTGCCAGAATAGTATTTTCATTTTCGTAGCAACAACTGCGACATCGTATGTTCAACATATTCCGCATATTCTGTTTGTGAGTCACAAATCGAATTAATTGGAACATCCCACAGTGGTAACATATATCCATTCAATGCCTGATGGCTTTAGTGCATTTGATGTTGCAATATGAGGTGTTCCCCTGCATTTAGTATCTCAAACTGAGAATTCACAGTTTAGTTGCCCAAGAAAAAGAAATTGGCTTGCAAGAAACGTTCCGAGCAATACGTTTAGTCGCGCAATACTCCGGTTCTCCAACACTTTTCCAAATTGCGTGTGAAATGATTGTTTTGCCAGAAGCAGCGTTGATTTCTAAGGTAGCTGGCAAATTATTGATTAATAATATGCTAACTTTCCGGTCCTGCCTTCCAGGTGGACTGTATGTAGCGGACCCCAGATTTGACTGCCTTCTCAATCTCGTCGATTGGTGCTGCTTTGGCAAGCGGACAAATTGACCCCTTTTGTGCCACAATCTTGATATGTATGGTATCGGAATTCATAAACTCAAGCAAAGTGCCGGACACCACCATTCCAGGCTGGTGTTGTTGGTCTTTGGAATCCTTTCACTCTGGATTTGGCGCTTTTATCAACAGAAGTCATATTGTGGTAACCATTGCTTGACTGTAACATTTGTGAATCATGTTTCAGGTTCCTCATTCTGAGATATTCCGTCGTTAGCTCATGCAATGAAACAGCGCAACTGGAGTCCAGTTTTGAACAATGAACAAAGATTTATAACGGGTAAAAAAGCATATGCTTGACAGGTCCCGTAGGGTGGTTGGAGCAATAGATAAAATGGAAGGGTAATCGAACAAGTAAATCGTTTTTTAAGCCTCTACAGATTTCAACGCACCATTTCATAATGATAGTTTGAAGTATGGACTGGATGTCTGCACCCAAAGTAGAGCTGTTATATTACAGCAAATGTGGGAAAAAGAAATCAAAGGAACGGATAACGCTCACTCGTGTGTTGCTTCCGTTGAGAGGTGTGGTACGTTACTCCAGTTTGTATACATCCATGTCGCTCATTGGGACACTTCTGTATGTAAAATCACCGCCATTTTGCGGGGAGGGTCAGTAACCTCATGGTTTGGGTCTCGTTATTTCGTCCTCCGAATAGGATGTGCTATGCCAAATAATGCAAGTTGGAAAGTGTGTCATCTAGGCGTTTTTTAAATAGTGCCAATGTGGGGGCAAGGACGACGTGAGTGGGGAGCGCATTCCAAGCACGGGACACACGGAGTGAGAAAGAGTTTTGTCGACAATCAAGTCGGCTGTAGTGTGTAGCCAGTTTGAGCTGATGACCTCTCAGGTTGGTATTTTGGCTCAGCTGCAAGAGACCGCAACATGGGTGATTTGGATTCATCAGTATTAAGTAGACCATGATGAGGTCTCCTCGGTGACGACGATATTCACCACCGTACAATCCCAGAGACTGCAGTCTGCGTTGGTAGGGGATGTGAAACAGGCCTCTGACGAGCTTCGTTGCTCTACGCTGTGGAGCTTCAAGTGCACTGATGTCGCGCTTGCGCCACGGACGCCAGGCCTGGATCGCATACTCCACGTGGGGTCTCACGTAAGCGCTCAGCATTTACGGAAATACAGATGGCTCGAAATTTCCGAAAGCCCTCCGTAAGAGTCCGAGATGTTGACTGGCCCTTTTCGATGCCTTTTCAGCTTGTCTGGAGCAGCCAAGGTCGTCCTGCACGATCACTCCGAGGTCGCATTCCTGGGAAGCATGCTGCAACGGCTGGTCCCCGAGTAAGTATTCGTGGATGAGCTGGTGGCGTAAGCTCACGACTTTGCACTTGGCGACTTTGAAGTGGAGCATGTTTTCGGATGACCAAGTGTACGCCCTGTCCAGATCGCTCTGCAGTGTTGTGTTAGTGATCTCGTTCTGATATCCGGATCTGCAGTTGATGTTCAGCCAGACACAAAAATCACTGCGTTGATTTGATCAGCTGACATTCTTTGGTATTGAAAGCTTTCATATTCCATGTTCACTCTTCCTGAATATCTCACAATATCTTCTTCTCTGGTTATATTTAAACAATGGTAACGAACGTTAAATAAAGACGACCGTTCTCCAAAAATTGCTGTGAGCTTATTCACTGTTTCATGCAAACTGTGATCTCTTGAGTTATTTGGCAACATATAATTGCAATAGCTTGTGTGTTAGGAGCATCTAAGTTTCTGAATGAATAGTCGTACCTTTGCTGATGCATCCAATGCAGAACCGTCCACAATAAAAATATCCTCATATCTCTTGTACCATGGTAAAAAAGTATTACCAGTGTCTTGGGCATACTTGAATTCTTGGATTCCATTTGCCAATCTAACTTTGAGCTGATCATCCTCACTGCCACCTGGAACCACACTTTTGTAAGCGGAAATCTTTCCTGCTAGCAATTCAAATAATTTATGCTGTTGATCCAATTGACATTTTTGACTTTATATCATTTGTATGATGACGCTTTGATTAACCATCTCCGTCGCCAAACTGTCAGTGGCTGAGAGTCAAGGCTGACAATGCTTCAAACGTTCACTAGCACATGCGAAATTACATTACAGGTTAGCCCAGGTTCAAACACGCTCACTCGATACTCATTGATCTTGA